CTGCGCTTGGTAGCGCTGGTAGGTGGCCATCGCGTGCAAAGCAGAAGCAGCCTGGCCCGCAGCCTTATAAGCTCTGGCTCCGAGGGAGGCAGACAACCTACAGGCTTTGGACGGGAGGCGGGGCAAACCCCGCCACGTAGAGGCGCCGCGCGGACAAAGATTGACCGCGATAGCGCGCTCCACTGACGGGATCGCCTCATACCCCCTGGCAGCTCCGCCGTCAAGGGCGGTGAGGGCGGAGGCACTCGCAGCACGGGCAGAGAAAGGTGCCCTCCAGGACTGCGTGAGCCTACTGTGCACTTCCGGGAAGAAGGGGACGAGAGGCTTCGAAGGCTTCGCCTTCTGGTCCTCTACGTAGCACCCATCTAGTTGGTCCGGCCGCGGAGCTGGGGGATAAACCATCTCCAACCCCATGGCCGAAGCAGCCCGGGAAAGCACGGCTAACATGTCCGCTTCAGGATCCGATTTGATAGCGCTCACCTGCCCGGAGGGGGCGAGCGGGTCCGGATCTTCGTCGGACAGTGAAAGCCCACCCTCCGATGCCGCGGAGGACATCTGATCTCCGGTGTCAGCGAGTGTGAGAGCTACCATCTGGTTAGACGGATCACTCTCACCACCCGAAGCTTGGATGGAGCGCCGTGAGGAGCGAGAGGTCCGCGAGCCCGTGGGCGGCGGATTAGCTCCCGCTGAAACCCTCAGATCTGCCCGAGCGCCCGCTGCTTTTTTTAGAGCAGGAGGCAACTGGGGTGGCTCGCTCTCTTGCGAAAGTTAGCCGCGATCTTAGCTGTGCAACGGTCATGGCATCGCAATGACGACATGAACCGCCCGCGAGCACCGCATTAACATGCTGGACCCCCAAACATGCAATGCAGTGATCGTGTCCATCATCCGGAGACAGGAAACCCCCGCATCCAGAAACGCACAGTCGGAGCGCCATCCTGAAAAGGACGTGCTGCACGACTGTGTTGCTCTTTTAGGAAAGTTGCAACTATACGCACCGCTCTGGAGGACCGGACCCAAAGAACCGCAGGCAAGGGAGTAACCCAGCTCGACCGTCTGCCACCGCGAAGACCCACTCTGGACCGGGAGACACACTCGTTCGCTCTGAAGTGCTGATCAGCAAGAGGAACCCTCATCGACTCACTCAGAAAGGATCTGAAGCGAAAAGGATGGCGTCTGCTGGCTTCAGGTGTGCTTATATGCTGAGATAATTGCAGATGTCGCACACCTGCGCAAGCTTACGCTGCCAATTAATTTCATTCATTGGCCCGTTCAATACTCTCCAGATAAGCGGCTTCTGATCCGAATCCTCCCATTCATGGCACTGAAGTTCCCCAACCGAAGGGGAACAGTGGAGACATCCTGGTCTGTGGTTTATTGCTAATTTGGTTTTAGCTTTCCTCATTTGTTTTTCCTGTTGCTGTCATCTCATGACCTCAGTGAACAACAATGTGCTTCTGTGTCAAACCCTACAACAGATCTTTAACCTTGAATATTAAATTTTATATATTATCTACTGTGTATTTAGATGATCGTTTAAACAGTTAAGGTTCTCAAGAGTTTGTTCAGTTTCTTATTCACATCTAAAAGTGTCTTAACAGTCAGAAGTAGGAATTTTAGCAGTAAAATATAGAGTAATTATACATAATTTTTCTTTAGATGTGCTGTTTTTGGGACTAAAAATTGATTTCTAAATCTAAAATGTTGGGGATTGAGCTTTTGATTTCTACCGTTTTGTTAATTGTATGTGTTTTTGCATTATTTAGCTTTCTCTCTATGCCACACCTTGTTGCATGCATTCAACTAATTCGATTTTACCTCAATTTTAATTTAACATAATGCAAAGAAACTGTTATGTAGAAGGTGTTAATTATTCTATTGCTGAGGGCCAGAAGTTAAATGGAAAGGATGTTATTACTTGTGTAATAAAGTTCTGTAGCATAGTGTCACAAGAAGGGCCTGGTCGAACGGCCCACATGGAGTTAGAGCAGGCTGAAAGCACAGCAAGCTCGAGGGTAGGTAAATCAAATGCATTACTAACATCTTTGTTTTACAGTGACTGGGATAGAGAGATGATAATCAAAGCCTGGCCTAACAACAGATGGGGAGAGAGAGCCAGGACCAAAGAGCCGTGGAGGAGGAAACTGAACTTTATGTTTATTGAAAATAAAACAAATAATTAAAAAGCCTCTATTAGAGTCCCCTATTTTTCTTTTTTTTAAAAGTAGACCTGATTTTAAATCTTTAACCGTTTTGTGTCGACATCATTACAAAGCATTGTATGGAGCACAAGAGCCAGGAAAAATTTAACCTTCCCTCCAAACACTAGAGGACTTCGGAGGATGCTCCTGAGTGACTGGTGCTTGTTGCAAGCATGACAGGAGTTTGGCGATTGCAGTCCGCTCAGACACGATCATATGCAATGTCAACATTATTTTTCTAAAAGTCAAAAAATAATGATGAGATCTTCCAATTACCCGGATCAAGCATTTTATTGCTATAGTATTTAAATAAACATTACTTTATAATGGCATTTAATTGAGAACTGTTAGAGAGGCGGGACTTGACATACCTGTCTATCATTCTCATGACGCAGCACAAAGCAGAGCTATGCAGAGAAGCGCCCGCAGCTATGGGGAATGGCCTCATCCTATGTGCCTTTGTGTGTTATTGTGTGCGTCTATAACGAACTGTGAGTACACATTCTGATCTAAAGGACAGTCGTTCTCATTTCAGTAACTAATGATCGAGTGATTTGCCGTTTATACGCTATTAGCGGGACATTCAGAAATGACAGGGTTAAGCTCATTCAGCGTGTTCGCCGCATTCACGTGCTCTCGCACGAGTTTATGATCGCTAGTTATTTGTAAATTATGTTCTATACATGCCTGTTTATGTCCTCATGCTATTACAATGGGATTTACTCATGACAAGTGTTTTAAGAAGTAATTTTTTCTGGGCTTAATGCCAGTTTTGAGTACTTTCGGTTTTGACATGCTGATTGTACTGCACAGCGAAAGTGAAACCATTACATCACGTTTACTGCTCGCTCGATGAAGCGTTGTACTTGATGCATATATCATAATATTGTACTGTGACTATATATGGTGAATGTTATTTGTGATCTAGATGTCTAATTATGTTATACTGATTATTTTATTATTTCTATTTCATTGTAGAACAACACACGCCTATACACACACCTCTTTAGTGTTCAATAAACAAGTTTGATTGACCTTAACTGCCTGATCCACTCCTGTGTTCTGATCGACACCCCAAGGGCAAGGCTAGAGAAATTAGAACCTCCTCAGAATACAATCCTAACCTAACAACCCAACAAGAACACTATACATTAAGAACACTATATATTATTCTATTATCTAAAAACACACGTATTAAGTCAGTTCTGTTTTTGGAGCTGAAAGCTGAAGTTATGTACTTAAACATATTTTTAAACTTAACCATAACCTGCTGTCTAGAAAACCCTCTGGATTATCTGGTCATGGTGTGTTTAATAAATGTGTAAACTCTGTAGGACACTGGGCCTAGAGATGCAGGTTTGGAAAACAGCACATTTACTTGCACACTGATAAGCTAATAGCTTACAAAATCAGCCCTTTGGAAAATCTTGTAGTCCTGGCGGTGAGTCTAGAAAGCAGGTTGTGACATTTTTCACTCAGTAAAACAGGTAAACGATAATGGTAGTCTAAAACTGTCCATTTACCAGTATTACATTGTGAAAGGGATATTGTTATACATATGTGAAGTATATTTATAAACAAATTTCGAAAGGATCACGTGCTTATGATTGTTCACAGCTGTTCCAACTTTAGCTAATGACTGATTATCCTATCAGACGATCCTTAACTCACTATAAATAACCAGACTTTTCTCATCTTAATATCTTTGTCTTGAAGAAAGCTCTGCTCCGCAACTACAAACGCTACAAGCGCTACAAGCTTCAACCTACAAGCTTCAAGCTAAAAGCTTCAATCTACAAACTACAGCAGCAACAACTACTATTACTACCATTTCAAACAACTCCAACAATTTCATCAACAGCTTAAACAACACCTAAACCTTCCACTTCAAAGTGCCACCACAACGCATCTGCTGTGTCTTCAACCCTATTCCCCAGCAAGATATCAGCCAACACTCCAAAGCTATTGCAATGAAACTGAACCCTCACCTTCTCCTAGCAGTACACATGCGATCCATCATTTAACAGCTTGTTTGCTGGGATATGTTCAGCAGAGCAGCAGCTCTAGTCATATATATATCATAGTTCTACTAAGTGGTGACATCGCTTTTAAGTCTTATTAAGTTTGATGTTGGCAATTATATATATATATATATATATATATATATATATATATATATATATATATATATATATATATATAATTTATTTATATATATTTATTTATTTATATATATATATATTTATATATATTTATTTAAAAAATAAATAAATAAAATAATAATAATAATAATATAAATCAACTAATTAATTAAATAAATAATTTAATTAATAATAAAAATAAAAAATAATAAATAAAAATTCAATAGCCACTTAACTTCTGAAAAGATTAATACCCAACCAGTAAATATTAGCCAGCTATTGGAAAACATTATGCCATCAAGCACAGAAGTCCAATTGTAATACGCCAGTGACTCATGTGTTGATATACAAGATTATATAGCAAGTCAGTTGGATGTGGGAAAAAAAAAAAAAGATAAAGAAACAAAATTCCCACTTGACTGTTATAAATAGAAGTTTAAACTCCACTTCACTATCACTTCACCTGCTCAGTCTTCAAGAGGTAACAGTTTTCCAGGACTACCAGACAAGCCACACCCCATATCTTCAGCTCTCCATCGATATGCCATGCTGTGGGGGACGAACACCCCTACCATCCTTACACATAGAGACAACGAAGCTATCGGGCCATGCATTTACTAAGGCGCTTCCATTTACAGTCGCCCATGCCCTTTTTAAGACGCCTCGCATGGATATCAGCTAAAACAATTTCATGTCTGCCATACATGTATTATGTTGTAAAGACTTGATTGTCAGAAAGCCCACTAGGAACCGAAAATATTCAGCGAGTTTCACACGGACTGTTATTAGCGGTGCAACTTCCCATACTCGGATGCCGGGCCAGATCCCAATGCGCTCCTTTTCTTCCTACATGTTGTGCGTTCATGCACCAAATGTGAGTAATAATGTGACAATCACTGAGTGAACATTTACACCTTTCATATAAGAGACTGTTTGTTATATATGACGACGATCGCGCCGCGATCATAGGGAAATATCGATCGCGATAGCCGCGAGAGAATACAGTGTGCAATATACGCTGCGTCATTCCACCTATTGCCTTTTACTGCCATTTAACTATAATTAGTTTGTTTGTTATAACATATATATTTGTTCCTTTATTATCACTGTTTAATCATTGTATATATGGTGTGATTTCTCATTGAAGTGAATGTGTAAAGATACCTTATAGTTATACTGTATTCCTCATCTGTTCTACAGACCACAACATACTTGAAGGAAAGTTTGATGGCACTGACTGCTTAATAATTGTTATTAAAGAAGTTTGAAGAGGATTACTTCTTTGTTGCCTGATTCTCTTACCGGAATCAATGTCCATATTTGTCCGCCAGTAGAACTGTAAATTTACTCAGTTGACAGAGGCATAGTACCCCGTCACATTGATTTCTAATTCTGTTTGTTTTTCAATCTCATAGATCATGACTGCCGGCTCCAGAGGCTGACCCCATCCAACCTATTATACTCCACACTTTCAATCTCTCAATCCACCCCACCATATCTGATCTAATTTCTTTATTGAGCCCCTTCAGTTGGTTTTGGCGGATATTACCAAGGGCGCGGGTTCACTTCACTATGGCCCCCCCAAATGTTCGAAATTCTCAGAACCAACAATCATCCCCTTTTGAACTATATCCCATCATCGCCGCGGCTATCTTGCGGGGCGACGAATGGGCTGCATCTAGCATCCTTGTACACTGCGACACTAAAGCGGCTGTCCAATGCATCATTAAGGGGCATTCTCATGCCATCAAGGCGCTAGACTTGGACTACAGCCAATAAACAGTTTTTTATAGTTGCTGAACATGTATCAGGGCTCCAGAGATGGATCCCCATCCTACACCAGTCTCACACTATCCAGAAATGATATTGCCCAACTCTCTCCCCCCTCTTTACTGATGATGCTAATTGTCCAGTAACAGGTTTTTTGGTTTCAAAAACGCCTACTTCGCCTCAGGATTCCCCCCAGAACCATTCTCCAGCCACTCATTCAGAATTGGGGCAGCCACCACAGCAGCCTACCATGGGTTCTCCCAATGGCAGATTCAGATCCCCGGACGATGGTCTTCCGAAGCCTTCAAATCATACATCTGCCTCAGCCGCTACCATCTCAAGGAAGCCCAGCTGATCCTCTCCAGCTGACACCCAACCACCGGAGCTCAAGGGCCCGAGCACGACTCTGCCATTTCCTCCTATTTTCCCTCTTAGTAGCCTCTTAGCTACATTTCTTATTCTCTTCTCCCAAGCGCGAGCTATACTCCGCTTCCCCCTCATTCCCTACCCCCCTCCGCTCCAACTCTCTTTAGTTACTCTCAACCTCTACCCCCGCAGGGGTCCTGCCAAGCCCATCCCCAGCCCAACCCTTACGCCTGTTTCACACCGCAAGCGTCAGCAGCGCGTGAGCAGAGCGTGAGCAGCGTGTATGTTGAACAGAAGCAGCACACAGGCGTTTGCCTTTCACACCAGCTGCGTCTGCAGTGCGCAGCTCTTCGGCAGCTGCTGCAGAGATCAAACTATCTCTGTTTATTGTATCTAGTTACCCATGTCTCTCTATATACAAATACACTTTTTAAACTTTTTATCTACACCAAGGCCCCTCATATGCTGTTTCTTTTACCTGCAAATGTTTATTTTACAAATTTTAAAGATCAAATAGTACTGTATGCTTCTCAAGCTAGATGAGAAGTTCTACAGTCAGAAGACAATCGCCTGTGATATCATGTCATTTGTTTTTTGATTGTCAGGTTGCTGTAAGCCTATATATAATAATATTTATATAATATAGTTATAATGATATTTATACAGATCAAACTAGTGTTACCTTCTCCGTTTCAGTGATGTCCAGCGGCAGAATAACAGCTCGTTAATTCATGCTCGTGCAGAGGATGAGACGGACAAAAGTAACCCATGCATGCCATTCTTTTACTTATTTTCGTGTTGTCAGATTCACAGTGCAAACAGCTCCCGGTAGGAATAACTCGATTGAACATAAAACAAAGCCCATTAAAACTTTCTTCCTCTGCTCAGCTGCACAGCACACAGCGAGTTAACATCATCCAGCATGCGCGCCGAACTACACTACCCACAATACACTTCGCTATGGACTACAAATCCCGTAAATATTCTATTTCCCCTCTCCTTAAACACTAGCGTGCAACTTAAGCAAAACTGATACTAAAATTGTTTTACATTTGGTTTTGTAGTTCAGGCCTAAATAAATGTTTGTGCCGTTTTTAATCGTTTATGTTCATTTGATTGACTTTATATGAACCATTTGACATTATTAACCAATTTATTGGGTAAAAATGCTACTTTTTACTGTCATTCAATGTGTTTTGGTCATTATCAATGCACTGTCACTTTAATTAAGCATGAGCAGCGCGTCAAAAATAGACCCAGCGCCGAAACTATCACTGCACTGCTGCTTCGGCGATGCTCACGCCTCGCTCTGACGCGCTGCTGCTGCATGCGGTATGAAAACTCTAATCTGTTAACATGGATGCCGAAAACACACGCGCTGCTCACGCTCTGCTCATGCGCCGCTGACGCTTGCGGTGTGAAACAGGCATTAGCAGCCACTCGCTAGCAAGAGCCCTCACCTCCCCCTCCTTCCTCCCATCTCTTGCTAGACCCTGCCCCAACCCCCCCTCCCCCCCCCCCCCCCCCCCCCCCCACGGCTTTGATCCCCGCAGGGATCGCCCCGAGCTTCGACCCCCGCAGGGGTCTCACTGCCCCCCCCCCCCCAGCCACTAGTTCCCACCCCCACCCCTTTACCTTTTCCGACCTCAAGATACTTAGCCCCTCTTTCTATCTCCCTTCCAGCATTTAATAGCCCCTTCTTTTTCTACTTTCAGCGTTCTCCGTCCCCCCTTTTTCTGATCCCCTTTTCCGTGTCCCATCCCCCCCGCCCCCCGCTTATCTTTTCAGCTTGAGTTCCTCCGCTTCTTTTCTCTTTAGCGACCAGTTCAGTCGCAATACTATCTTCTAGCTTTGAGTTTCTCCGTTACTCTCTCTCTATTCCATAGGTCATCATTCCTCAGCTCTAACTCCCGCAGGAGTGACTAAAACGAGCTTCGATTACCGCAGGAATCATGCCACGGCCACCTCTCGCTAGAGTCTTCACCACCCCCCCATTCTCCCAGACTCCAGCAAGAGTATCGCCCCCGCAGGAGTTACTCTGAGCTTCAACTCCCGCAGGAGTCAATCACTTCCCCTCCCCGGCCACTAGAGGAAAAAATAAATAAATTCTCTCCTAACTTTTCTTCTTTCTGACGTTGAGTTCCTCCGTCCCTCTTTCTATCACCCTTCCGGCATTTATGCGCCCCTTCTTTTCTTTATAACAGCGCCGAGCGCTTCTGCTACCTCCCCCCCCAAACCTTTTACCCCCACTTCCCCCTCCCCCTCCTTTCACAGCGTTGAGTTACTCCACTAATTTTCTTCCTTTAGCATAAGTTTACTGCTATCTTTCTTTCTTCTAGTGTTGAGTCATCCACTATCCTTTTCTTCCTTCCACATAGGCCCTCACTTCCTTAGTTCTGACTCCCACGGAGTCCCCCTAGCTTCAACTCCACAGGAGTTCCTACCCCACCCCCCCCCCCCTAACTCACACCCCTTTTCCGCCGGAGTCAACACCGCCCAAAAACCTTTCCTGACTCCCACGAAAACCCCGCCCACCCTAGCTCTGGCTCCCGCAGGAGTCACTCCCAGCCCCTCCTACGCCACTGCCTAGACTCCCCCGGAGTCGCTTTCAAAACTCTGCACTAGCAAGAGCATCTCTATCTCCTTCCACAAAGTTATATCCAGCAGCCGGATATAGCATTGTCTTAAGCCTCTTGGGGGGTTTCTTTGATACGCGGCTGCTGTCCCATGCGCAAAAGGCTTCTTTGGGGAGTCATCGAGATCTACCTGAGCTCAAACTCCCCTCTCGCCTTGCAACAGGAGGGAGCTCAGGGCTCTCTCCCGGGACAGCACGCCAAACTAGCTTTATTATCAATCATCAGCTAAGTGTGAACTCTTAAAGTGAAGTTTATTTATAAAGAAATTTCGTGAGGATCACGTGCTTATGATTGTTCAAAGCTGTTCCAACTTTACATAATGACTGATTATCCTATCAGACGATCCTTAACTCACTATAAATAACCAGACTTTTCTCATCTCAATATCTTCGTTTTGAAGAAACCCCCCCACCCAACCGATCAGCGCTGTTGCCTCACAGCAAGAATGCCCCTGGTTTAATTCCTTTCCAAACCAGACAGCATTTCTGTGCGGAGTTTGCTCGTTCTCCCCGTGGTCGCGTGGGTTTTCCCCGGGTCCTCCGGTTTCCTCCCACAGTTCAAAAACAAGCACTCTAAACAATTAATCCAAACATTTTTTGCTAAACTCTTGAGTACACCTTTCCGCTTCCATATCTGACACTTAACTACAACAAGCAAGAGGGGGAGTCATCGAGATCTACCTGAGCTCAAACTCCCCTCTCGCCTTGCAATGGGAGGGAGGTCAGGGCTCTCTCCTGGGACAGCACACCAAACTAGCTTTATTATCAATCATCAGCTAAGTGTGAACTCTTGAAATATATTCATTATTTTTTTTGTATAATTTAATATTTTTGTTTGTTTATAAAACATGAATTAATTTGTATATGTGCACATCCTTATTCATTTGCTTATGTACACAGCAGGGTCTGATGTACTGTATGGACAATATTTACATCTCTGACACAAAACTGAAGGATGAACAGTGAGTTATAGTTCTAATAAGAGTCAGATATTTTTATTGTTCTGGTTAAACTTCATTCAGTGTCATTCATTTGACATAAATGCAAAAGTATTAAAAAGAGTAAAATGCAAAACTAGCTTTTTATAAAAGGCATAGGGAGTAGGATTGGTTGATGTCCATCAGTTTGGTATCATACGATGTCTAATGTGAAACATCGCGATGGATGATGGCATCGTCATTGTCAAATCATAAATAAATAAAGATATGTTACACACAAATGACCACGTGTCAATCACTTTTTCCGCTGGACTCTGGCGTGAATAGGCAGAGTGATTTGTGTCGTTATAATGACGTCCACAAACTTGATTGTTAAAAAAGGTGCCAAACCAACAGTATCTGAGGTTTTCGTTAAAATTACTAAATACAAGTGTAGCATGGACAGTTTGAAATTCACAAAACCCACGACCACTTCAGAGATGAAACTTGTTTATTCTGAAAAGAATAAATAAACAGCAGTGGAGCAACTGGACTCTCTCTCTCTGTCTTCAACACACACACTCGT